TGGAGGGGCCAGAGGGAGGGGCTTCTGCTCTGCGGTCAGCATCCCCCCAAGAGTGACTCGGGCTGGTGCCAGGCCCTGGGAACACAGGAAACGAGTCTCACCCACGTGAAGGAACACCAGCTGGTGGGCTTGCTTCAGAGTTCCAGGAGCCCGGTGCCTGGTCTTGCTGCTGTGAGCGGAGCACGGCCGTGTGACAAAGCCTGGGTCTTGCTGGAGGTGGGCGCTTGGGTATTTTTATCAGCTCGCCACCCCCAAACAGCAGGGGTCTCCGCATGTGACTTGTTTGGGGTGAGGGTCTCTCTCCCAGAAGCAAAATGTTTACGACAGAGGGTTCTAGCACAGAAAGTCAGGACACGTTGTGAGAACACGGAGCACGCACATGCCTGTGGCCTTGAGAAACGATCTTCTGGAAAACACTCCAAGGTGTGTCGAGCTGGCTATTTATCTAAAAGTGTAGTGACATCATCCAATGCCCTTTTGCAGGAAGTTGTTTGAAAATCCAGTGTCGATCCAGAACCAAGAAAAGGTCCTTGATTCATTTTTCACACACGGTAAGAAATCATCTTTACACCATAATCAGAACAGACACCAGCTCGGCGGTTTCCCGCAAAGTGCTCCTGGACGTCTGGGCCAGCCCGCAGACACAAGGGTCAGGAAGGGACGGCACGGCCCGGTGGCTCCCGTGGTCCCGTTCGGAGAGCCCCCGCCACTGCTCCCCCAGGATCTTTCGAGCGTTCCCTCCCTTCAAGAGCGGGAGGGAACTTGGCACATCCTTCTACTCAGACAGGACAGCACCAGCTGTAACTCTTAGGGGGAGATCCTCAACTCTTTTTCAAAAGTAGTATCTACGGGTCAAACAGCGACAATAATCAGGGATGATGCTTTTCAGGCTGCAGCTACCTCGGATGTTGGAAGGATGTGGCAGCTTTATGAGACACTCATCCTCCCAGACCCACAATGAGCCGGCTTCCTTCCCTTCCGTTTGTTCCCGGGAAATCAAGCAGCGACCCATGTGTGTGAGGCATTTTTCGAGGGTCCGAGGAGGTGACGCACATGTCAAGGCCCCACCCAGATCCACGCACGCTCACAAATACAACTTATAAAACTGAACCACGTGTTAAGCCACAGTTGATGCTTTTCACGGCTTCTGTTCAGTGAACAGTGACTATGAACAGGTAGGGTGCTCGCCTACCCCTGAAAACGTAATAAACATAAGAGAATCAAGTTAAACTAAATCAAAATAAAAAGTACAAAAGCCTCTTTAATCAAAGACCATGAGTCTGAAAAGCAACCATCTGCTGACTCTAATAGCCAATGTGATTAGACCCATCAGAACTTCCTGGAAGGTTCCAGACTGTCTGGAAAGGTGAATGTTGGCTGCTCATCACGGCTTGAGCAGTGCCTACACATTTAATGGTCCCCTGATTTTAAACACCTGCAACTGTCATCCCTTTCTTTCACAAAACTAGCAGACCACGCCTACGCCCCACAGTGCTCCCTCCTCGGAAGGCCAGGCAGAATCGCGACCGGCCTCGGGAGCCCCCCCACAGCACATCCTGTGCCAGAGCTGCTTCCCGCTAAACTTCACACCTTCCCCTCATTTCTCCGACGACGAGCCTACGTCTGCTGGGATGTGGACCCAGTTTGGGGCACTCCGAAAATCATAATAAAACGTCCACTGTTAACAACCAGCTCAAGGAGCCTGGAGCTGGGAGACCAAGTGCAGCCATCGGGCGCTCCCCACCTTCACTCCAGGGTCTGAGGACGCCCAGCACCACCGCACAGGCCCCACCTCCCTCCCGAGCCGCCTGTGGAGGGAGCACAGAGGCCCCTGCGCCCGCCTGAGCGGAACCGGGGTGTCCGCCCCCTGAGGTCCGCACGGGGGCCTTGTTCTGCTTTGCTCTCAGTGTGCCTCTTCGGGTGTGCCGTTAAGCCCCTTACGCACACAATCTCTTGCTCAGCCACCACACGGGTACCTGGGGGCTCTGGCGCACGAGGAGGGTCCCCATCCCGACAAAGCAGGAGCGCCCTCGGTGGGGAGCGAGGCGAGAAACACGGGACCAAGTCGCCAGAGCTACACCGCGTTCAACCGGACAGAAAACTCGGTCCTGCCAACGAGGGTGCATCTAGAAACCAGCAGCGGTGGCGGAGAGGCGACCGACGCGGGCTTCCGCCTGTCCTGACGCTTCGCCGCGAGCGCTTAGAGAAACTGGGCAGCACGGAGCAGACAGACGGACGACACACACGGACTCGCGGAGTCGCTCCGGCTCCCTCTCGGGATCTTGAGACACGTGGCGGTGGCTCCGGCCACCCGGCTAATACAGGTACCCTCCGCAGGGACAAACGTCTCCAACACAAGTGACCGAACAGGTTGCCACAACCACGTCTTAACCACAGGACGACCGCTCAGCCTCAGCCTGATTCTGCGAGGCCGCCCGCCAGGGGCGGGGAGGGTGGGGGGGCTACCATGGCAGCCAACCACAACGTTCTGGGAAACAAAGTTTTTGTTTTGTTTTGTTTTGTTTTTTATTTGACAGAGAGAGACACAGTGAGAGAGGGAACACCAGCAGGGGGAGTGGGAGAGGGAGAAGCAGGCTTCTTGCCGAGCAGGGAGCCCGATGCAGGACTTGATCCCAGGACTCTGGGATCGTGACCTGAGCCGAAGGCAGCCGCTTAACGACTGAGCCACCCAGGCGCCCCGGAAACAAAGTTTTTATTTGGGTATTTTCATTCCTCATTTTAGTATATACCTGGAAACAGACAGACTTTACTTAAGATGTCAGAAAATAATATTTTTAAAATAACCCATTTTCCCACCAAGCTCTCTGGCCCCTCTGCCTCTGGTAGGTTCTTACAAGAAAAATGGGGAATTTAGAATATTAAAAGCAAGGAGATTAAAACATAACAGAAATAACAAAATACCAAAACCCACCAGGTGACTTCACCTGGAATTAGTCACAGATGTACTAAAAATAAACAGGAGAGGACTTCACGTCCCAGCTCTCTCCACTCCCTCCAAACTGTGAAGAGCAGAGTCTGACAATCACGCGCGTGTCCAGAGCACGTCCGGGGCAGGCGTCGCTGCCTCACTCCAGCGTCAAGAGGTATTAATACAGGGTCCGGTGACCCACACACAAAGATGAAGCTCGGGGAGAAAAGCCCACCAGGAGATGCAATCCTGCGGGGCTTCACCCCGGTGTGAGACCTGCTGCAGGAGGGTCTGGGGCCCCGGGGAGGAGCAGGGCCCAGACAGAGGGGCCCAGCGGGGGTGGCCGCCGGTGCCGCACCAGGAGCGGGGTCCAGACCCGGTCTAGTGTCGTTCCCAGCAGAGATGCACCAAAGGCCTTTTGGACCTGCCCACATGGGAGGCAAAGACTGGCAGACAGGAAGACAAGTGAAAAGCATCGAGAATCACCCCTCATTCCAATGTCAGCCCTGACAGCAGAGGTGGGCACTGGTCTGGCCCGCCCACAGCCCAAGATGTGTGGCACTCACACGTGCATTAGAAGTGTTATGGGGGGACCGAACAAGTGTGCCCCCACCTCTCCACACAGCCACAAGTTCCCAGCCGCATCCCCACGGGCTCCTTCCACGAGATGCACAGACCTGCCCAGTCGACCCCCCAGTGCCCTGGGATGGCACAAGCCCAACTCTGACTGGAGGCGGGGCGAGACCAACATTTGGGAGCATGCATTCAAGGGTTCACAGACGCTACTTTGTCTTAAACTCCCCACAGCTGTGTGATGCATTTTTCAGATGGGGCATTGAGGCGTAAATGTGTCTTCGAAAGCGTGCCCAAAGCCAAGCAGCCTGTCCACGAGGTATTCAGTGTAGGGTCTGACTTCACAGCCAAGCCCCGTGAACTGAGCACGGCGTCCAGGCTGCTCAGACGGTGGCCTGGGCTCTTGATGACGTGCCAGGAAATGAAAAAACAGAAGCATTGCTCCGACTTGCGTCTTTATTAGCCGTAAGCAAATTTCATCGCTCCAACACAGAAACTTAGGGTATTTTAGCGCTCATGAAAACAAACTTGTAAAAATACTGGCTTTTTAAAATCAGAGTAAAAATGAAAACAAGGATGCACTTCCCAAATCCCCAACATAGGAGTTGGCTTCCCTTCCTCCAGCGGTAATCAGGAAGCCACCGTGTCCACACTGGCTGCCACGCAGGCCCCATCCACGAGCTCACACCCGCGGGCCCCCCTCTGCACTCGGGGCCTCCCGTTTTGGGGTGTGCCCCCCGCACCTCGTTCCCTCTGGCACCCATGGTGAGCACCAACCAAACACAGCGCGTTTCTCCTCGGATGGCCAGAGACACCGTCCGGGCGGCCACCACGGTCCATGAGCATCCCCAGAATGGATCTTCAGAGCACCCGGCTCGCTCTCGGGCTGCACCCCGCGGGCTCACAGGCCGTTAGAGGAGAAAGCCAAATGCCCTGTGTCTTGTTGGGGGAAGAAAGTTCCGGGGGAGCCCGCTGCTTGGCAGCTCAGCCGAACCTCTGGCTGCACCTTTAGCCGCTTCTCAGGTTAGTCTGTCATTTGCTCCCGAACAACTGGAATTCGGCTGGAGACATTTAAGTAGCAAACAACATCCAATTCCTTTAAAAACACTGGCGTGCAAGCGGCATTATCTAGCGGAAACAAAGCAAGGATGTGCGCACGTCGCTCCCCACTACGAGTGAACGGGCACAAAGGCGGGACGAGGGCCAGCAGAGGGAGCCCACGCCTGTCCCTTTGCACAGAGGCTGCCATCCCGGTCCCCCTTCCGGACCCACACACGGCTCCCGTTTAGAGGCCCCGCACTTCTAAAGTTTGACGAGGTTTTTGGTTCAGATGCCTCGATTTCAGCGTGAAACGCTCGAACAAGCACTTGCTGTTCCCTAACAACCACACATCATCCACTGCTCCGCCGCGGCCCCTGCAGCCGCGCGCCCCACCGCACCTCTCCCGCGGACGCGCCCCCCCCCCGCCCACCACCTCACCTCCTTCCAAAGCACTTACGGGACAGGGAGTGGGTGCCTTTGGGCAGGTAGTCCAGCAGCAGGGAGCTGTCGTCCCGGAGCATGTCGGCCTTGAGGGACAGCAGGCTGTTCTTACTCAGGAGCGCCGCCCGCAGGTTGGCCACGGCGGTGGCCTGGTGCAGGGCCTCCTCCTTCTCCGGGGTCAGGGGCGGGCCCAGGTAGCTGGCTTCTCCTCCCAGGAGACCCTCGTCCACGTGGCCAAAGAGCTCAGCCCTCTCCCCGCGACTGTCAGAGCTACTGGCTTCAGTCCCCGTCAAGTCTGCATCTGGGAGAGGAAACACACGCAGGTCATTTTAAGACTCTCCAAGCGGGAGGCGGGCAAATTCAGGAGAAGCCGAGGTGATGAGCTTCCTGACCACCCAGCAGCTTGTCGTAAAATCCAGTCCCATCCTGCCAGCCGACGTCCCTCACCTGCCCCGGGACAGTGGTGGAGTCTCAGCCAAGGCCTCCGGTGGGGACTCCGCTCAGAAAAGCGGGGGGGCACCCCCTCCCAGGACAAGAGGACGAAGACCCACTCGAATCTCTGCTCCGGGGCTGGGAGCCAGAGGCCACTACATGCCTGCAGGATTTTCCTCTCTCAAAGAAGACGTGACTCAAAATGGAATGACGACTAAAGAGAAGAGCTAAAACTACAAAACTCAGAAAATCTCCTCACTCTCAGCTTGGGCAACGGGTTCTCAGACAGGACACCAAAAGCACAAGCAACAAAACAGATAAACTAGGCTTTGTCAAAATTAAAAACTTTTATGCCTCCAAGGACACTCTCAAGGGGAGAAAAAGACAGGGCGCCTGGACAGCTCATTCATGCAGCGTGTGACACGTGACCGCAGGGTCGTGAGTTCGAGCCCCACACGGGGCACGCAGCCTACTTAAAATGAAAGGGGAAAAAGGAAGGAAGGAAAGGGAGACAGAAGACAGCCCATGAAAATATCCACAAATCATACATCTGATATGAGAGCCTATTCAGAATATATAAAGAATGCTTACAACTTGGTAAAAAGAAAAAGAACCCTTTTTTTAAATTTTTTTTTAAAGATTTTATTTATTTATTTGAGAGAGAGAATGAGATAGAGAGCATGAGAGGGAGGAGGGTCAGAGGGAGAAGCAGACTCCCTGCTGAGCAGGGAGCCCGATGTGGGACTCGATCCTGGGACTCCAGGATCATGACCTGAGCCCAAGGCAGTCGCTTAACCAACTGAGCCACCCAGGCGCCCGAAAAAGAACCCATTTTTAAAATGGGCAAAGGACCTGAGCAGATATTCATTCAAAGAAGACACATAAATGACCAGTGAGCAATGTCCAACACCATCGGTCATCAGGGACACGCACCTCGAAACCACGAGAGGCCACTTCACACCCACCAGAGTGGCTAGAATCCGTCAGACCAGTCAGACGGTCACAAGGGCTGATAAGGGTGTAAAGACACTGGAACCTCCCCCATTGCTGGTCAGAACATCCAGGGGTGCAGCCCCTGGGGGACAGCGTGACAGCTCCTCGAGAGACCACACAGAGTTACCACCAGCGCCCTCAGAGGGTTTCGTACCCAAGAGCAGTGAACACACACAAGCTCCCAGCAACACTATTCGCAACAGAAAGAGGAACAAGCCCAATGTCGGGGGATGACAGGCAAGCAAGACGGTCCATCCTCACAGTGGACTCTTGCTCGGTCGTGGAAAGGAGTCAAGTGAGAACTCGCTACCACGTGGATGGAGCCCGGAAGCCACGGCAGTTCATGCAAAGGCTGCTAACCTTCCAAATCCCAATGAATTCCACGAGGAACGTCACAGACGGACATCCAAGCAACGCCATGCCTCCTCACACAACCACCCTGCGAATCCGAGTCCTGGCAAGGGTGCCCTAACCCCCAGGCCAAGCCTCGTGCGTGCAGGGAGGTTCCGGAATCAACGGCACGTCCAGGAGGCTGCCTGTCCCCAGGACCTCCTAGGACTCAAGCTACGTTGTTTACAAAAAGCTTGAGAGGACACCAAGCGTCCCATCTCACATCTGAAAATGAGCTGAGTTCCAAAAAGTCGTTGGTAAGCTAGTCACGTCGGGTGTCGACCACGCACGTGTGTATGCTCACATACACACACGAGCACACACACGCGCGCGTGCACAAGCCTGCTTGCACACACGCGTGCACGACAGCTGGCGCTGGCTCCAGGGAGACAGGAAGAGCCTGCGCCCGGGAGAAAGGGTCAGCACGCGGGAGCAGCCGCTGGGCAGACACCTCACACCCGTATGTGGCAACAAGAAATGACCACACGCCAAGTGCATGGGCGACGGAGAGGCACTCGGGCTTATTTCCTGACGCTGACACCGCTTTAATAAATGAAGCAAACAGGATTAAAAATACCTAATTGTCGGGGCGCCTGGGTGGCTCAGATGGTTAAGCGTCTGCCTTCAGCTCAGGTCATGATCCCAGGGTCCTGGGATCGAGCCCCACATGGGACTCCTGGCTCAGCGAGGAGCCTGCTTCTTCCTCTCCCTCTGCCTCTCTCCCTGCTCATGCTTTCTCTCTCTCTCTCTCTCTGTAGCTCTGTGTCTCAAATGAATTAAAAAAAAAAATACCTAATTGTCAAGGGCGATGAGTTAGACGTAAAGGTTTTATTCTAGAGGGGAATACACTGTTTTTTCTCGCTTCCTATAAATGATACATCATAACTGGGGCTCCTGGGTGCTCAGTCATTAAGCGTCTGCCTTCAGCTCCAGTCGTGATCCCAGGGTCCTGGGATCGAGCCCCGCATCGGGCTCCCTGCTCCACGGGGAGCCTGTTTCTCCCTCTCCCACTCCTCCTGCTTGTGTTGTGTCTCTCTGTCAAATAAATAAATAAAATCTAAAAAATAAATAAATAAATAAAAATAAAAATAAATGATACATCATAGCATTTTGAAAATTTAGCTCACACACACAAAAAACGTAGCTCACAATCTTTAGCTGGAGAGCAGAAAAGAGATTATAATTAAAATAAGCAGAATTTTTTTTTTTTTAAGATTTTATTTATTTATTTGACAGAGAGAGACAGCGAGAGAGGGAACACAAGCAGGGGGAGTGGGAGAGGGAGAAGCAAGCTTCCCGCCAAGCAGGGAGTCCAACGCGGGGCTCCATCCAGGACCCCGCAATCATGACCTGAGCCGAAGGCAGACGCTTAACGACTGAGCCACCCAGGCGTCCCTAAAATAAGCAGAATTTTTAAACGATCAAACTAGATCAGGCAGTGTTGGTCCTAAAGTGGGGTATGAGCAGATTCAAAACAGGAAAGAGTGGGTTCCAGCCACGTGGGCTCCAGGGCCTGGGGGACGGGGCTGTCGTGGAGGGAGGAGGCCAGGAGGGGCGAGGAGGGCAGGGAGGGAGGGGCGCTGACCTCACAACCAGGCTGTCCTGGGGGCACCCCATTTCTCACGTTTCCCCAGATCTCCACTCTTCACGATTCTTTAAAGTGCTCACGAGGTGCATTTGAGAACGTCTGCACAGATGTCACACCCCAACCCTGCTCAGCCCACTGCCTCGCTCACCAAACAGGCGCCCAGTGTGTGCACTGTGCAAAAAACACACGGAAGCTTCCGGAGAGAGTGTGCCGGTGGGACACACATCCCTGCCCCCACCCAGGTGCTTACAGCCCAAATCAGACTCAAATGGGGCACAGTACAGTTCAAAACTTTTAAGTATGCATTTCACCCAATATTTACCTTCTCACTTTATGTGTCCAAAATGTATTCTCTATTTCAAAAATGTCACCTTTCTTTATCCAAGTTCAAATCAAGTTACCTCATTTTCTTAATTTTCAAAAAGTTTTCACATCATTCCATAAATCCTCCTTACTTGAAATATATATATAATTGAATAAATATACAATTGAATTAATTACTTTGTAACTATATAGTCAGCAAAGTGATTCAACGGGTAAAAGTCAGGTTTTGGGCAAATAGTACTGGAACAACTAGACATCTATATACAGAAATCAGTGTGAACCACAGACCTTCACGTCACACCCAAATCTGTTAAGCTTCCAGGAAAAACACAGGGGGGAATGTTTGTGACCTTTGGCAAAGATTTCCGTGATAGGATTCAAAACGTAGGAGCCTCAAAAGAAAAGAGTTCGCAAATCGGGCTCCATCGAGATTTACAAGGTATGCTCCTCCAAAAACAATGTTAAATGAAAACGTGAAGCAAAGACAGAAAATGTCTGCAAGACACACACCTGCTGAGGTGTGATCAGAATATGCTGAGAACTCTCAACTCAGCCCTGAGAAACGGGTTCAAGACGTGAACAGGCACTTCCGGAAAGCAGAGCGTGAAGAGTGGCTCGTCACGGCCAACATTTCTAACCCACCAGCACAAGCCACCCGGGGTCAGACCCTGACGAAGAAAGACTAACACACACACGGAAAGAAGACCAACAACACGGCCCATCAAAGAAACGCGAGGTGCACACAGGAGGCGCCAGGCCACGTCCCCAGAGCGCTTAGAAATGGGAAAGGGAACAGTGTGAACTGTTGACGACGATGTGAAGCAAAGGGGACTTCGAGCAAAGCCAGCATGAGCCTAGGGTCCCAGCAGTCACGGCCCCGGGAGTTCACCTGAGAGGAATCAAAACTCACATGTGCACAAAGACGTCCCAGCACATCCCAGCGGCGTGTTCACAGCGCCGGAAACCACCCGAAAAACCGCAAACAGGTGAAGGAGTCAACACAGCGTGTTACAGCCAGAGAACAGAACACAAGCTGGAAATAGGATTTAGTGATGCACACGACAACACGGACAAACCTCAAAAGCACGTTGAAAATCACAGAAACGCGGGCAGATTAGCAGCTGCCAAAGGGGGGGTAGCGACCCCGGGGTCTTCGGCGGCCGCTGTGGTGGGGGCTGAGGTCCGTGGACCGTGTCAACGTCCAGATACAGGTGGTGGCAGTGACGGTGTTCGCAAGACGTCAGCCTTGGGGAAACGGCCTCAGGGGACACAGGGCCCCTCCGTGTTATTTCTTACAGCTCATCATTCATCTACAATAACCTCAAAATGGAAAAACAAGAGTTAAATAAAATAAGCCAGACAGGAGAGCATGCACTGCAGTTCCAGGCCACGCTGGGGACAGGAGTCAAGAGTGGCCTGGGTGGGTGGGGGGTGAGCAGAAAGGACGGGAGGGGCTGCGCCAGGCAAGGGAAGTGTTCTCTCTCCCGACATAGAGATGTATGCATTTGTCAAAGCTCACCAAACTCACCCACTAGGCTGGTTCAGATTAAAAAGACAACGGGCAAAGCTGTGGA